CAAGAGAATTAGAGCTCTCCCCAAGCCCCATTCCTTCAAAAAATGTCGGCACTGTGTATGAAGGCCGAATTAGGTATCGTGTGATTGAGCTCAAGAGAGGGAGGGGTCTTGCGGTTTTTCAAAGAGAACAAAAGGTCACACCTACCACAATCTCCCCATCTTCCTTTAAACACAGGGTCTAAGGAACACCAAGGCCTGTGGTGATCAGCTTTGGTGCAGTCCTGATAAGAAACGTCTTTGTACTTGAAAGGAAAACGGCAGCATTCGCCAGATGTGGTATTGACGGCACAAGGAACCTCTGAGTAAAAGTACACATTTCTATGCAAAACTCTCTCACTCTGACTTTGTCATCATCCATATTGTCATATTGTAAAAATATACCACAAGTTTGCTGAGCTTTGTTTCTTGACCGTGTCGGGCGGGGAGACACCCATCAGTGAGAGGAGAGGGGCGTCCAAACCTCCCACCCAACCACCCCCCCCCCCCGGCTTCCCCCGTACCTTTCATTCCCTGCTTCCTCGACGTTTTTATTGGCCTCTTCGTTTCGGTCACCCTTCCTCCCGATCGATTGCATTGTTGCGTAATTGCCTCTTTTCTCGTACATGATGGATCCTAAATCTGACTTTTTTCTCGTCCTATGCTTTTTCAAATCAACTTAATGTTTGTTATTGTTTTTGTTTTGTTTTGTTTTGTTTTGTTTTGTTTTTGTTTTTGTGTTTGTGCGCTTTTGAAATTCCATCCAGATGAATGTTGATCGTAACAGAGAGAAATTAATAACTGTTTACTGAGAGCCATACTAATTTTCTCTGCGGTGTACTTACTACAATCTCCCCATCTTCCTCTATACACAGGATCCAATGAACACCAAGGTCTATGATGATAAGATTTAGTGCAGTCGTAAAAAATCTTTCCTCTATACTGAAAAGGAAACCTGCAGTATTCCCCGGATGTGGTCATTACGGCGTGAGGCTTAGCTAAACAAAGCAAAAATTATGAGAAAAATGAGACGGATATCGCGTCAGAGTCAATCATTGCATTGATCAAAAGGGTGGGCAATTTGGGCAATTTATCGCCGTGTAACAGCAGTAATGAAAGTTATCAGCACCCAGAGCCAACCCAATCCAAGCTATTTCGCCAAGAGGAACTTTGAGGAAAGGTCGAATGTAACCGCACCTAATAATTATTAAATTTCCATATAGCGAAGTAATTACTTTTTCAGAGATAAGTATGTCTATAATAAATAGGTTAAACAGACAAAGTTCTTTTCTCTCACCTGACTTAAAAAGAAACAGCATTGACGCCATTGAAATGAAAAGTAACTTCATTTTTGGTTGTTTTTTCCGGTGATATATGAATGCAGACTGAAGGAGCACGTACTTCAAAATGTCATCAAGTCCTTGGAAGCGCTTCAAAGACAGGATTCATTCGAAAAGTCATATTTTAACGTTGTAGTAAGTGTTCAGTGCTACAATAGCCAGAACATTTAAATAGAGGGAAAGTTGTGGGAGAGATAATCAGGCCACCTGCCTCTGAGCAGACACCGACTAACAAGTCAACCATGATAACAAGAGAGGATTGCAGTCGCTAAAAAGAAATGTCCCCTAGCTGTGTTCCTGACAATTGATGATTTAGTTCCAAAAACTCTACGGTACAGTAATATTCATTTATTCTCATACATTTATACTTCTCTTGCAATTTATCGAACACCATGCATGTACAAAAGCGCTCCAAATACGAACAACCTTTTCTTTACTTTTTATCTTGATTAAAGCAGTGAACCTGCTCTAAAACAATGGATAAAGAGGATTAAAAGAAACTAAAAAAGAGCCGCCATAAAACCATGAAAAAATTTATACCTCTAAGCAAGAAAACAACTTCATTATCTTGGGCAGTGGACCAACATAATATAGAATATGAAAATATACGGATACTCAGTTGCATCTTTCCCCGAAAATTGCTTTTGTTTACCAAAAACTATACGGTACAGAAACGCTTATTTATATTATCACTAGTCTGAAATGTCAGTGGTCTCCACCCCCTAACCCGCTGGGGGAAGGGCGCGGGGAGAGAGAGACAACGTCTTTCACCCAGCAAGGGGTGGAGACGGTTGATATTTCAGACTATATTTCCTAAGTAAATAAAACTTACTTCGTTTGCACTTAAAAGAATACTATGCATTTGCTAGGACGCTCCAAATAAAAAGAACCAATTCTTTATTCTCTATGATGATTAAAGCAGTTAACCTGCTCTCAAACAATTGATATATAAAGAGGAAAGAAAGCCACGAGGAGTGCCTAAAAAGATATTAAAAAAAATAATTACTTCTTAGCTAGAAGACAACTTCATTATCCAGGGCAATAGACCAACATAATATAGGAGAGTGTCACTACACTCCACTGCAACTTTCATGGTTGGATTTGGTGTTCGTTTGTAAAAATAAATCAGTAAATCAATTAACCAATTAACCTTTTTATTCAATGTTGGATTTGGTTTTCGTTTGTAAAAAAAAATCAAGAAAACAAATAACCAATTAACCTTTTTATTGCTAACGAATAAAAACCTAGCTCACCTAAAAAGGTTTCTGAAGAGCTACCAACTGGGAAGACTATCTGGTCTCTCAAATCTAACTATTTTACGGATATTTCAAGTTCTTGGTATTAACTAAAGTTAACCAAAAAAGTCCACTTTTTCAGTAATCTTAAAAATATGAAGAAAAATCCATGGACAAGATGTGGGGTTGCAGTATGACCTTGCTCATAATTTAAAGGAAGATCAATTGGTCTGGATGGAGGCATTGAATGGGGCACGAGTGACTTTAAATAATTAGTTATCTCGAGATTCTGACGGGTGAGAGCCTGCATATTGAAAAGCATCGTGATTAGCAGTTTCCCTTCACAATAATAACAGTACTAATGAATATTTTTAATAATAATGATGATGATGATTTTGATGATAATAATAATAATAATAATAATAATAATAATAATAATAATAATAATAATAGTGTATTTATTTAGTGCACGTATCCAGTAACTGTTCGAGGCGCTTCACAAAGATAAAAATTAAATAAAACTAATATGCTAGTGCTAAAAACTAAGAATGATAAAGAATAAGTTAAAAACATGCTTAATCTAACAATACGCTAAAAAGCTAATAAAATACGAAGTCCAGAATATGCTAAAAAACTAAGACTAATAAACTCAGAATGTAAAACTAATGAACTAAAAAGTGAAAATAATGAGCTAAAGAATTTTGGGGTCTGACGCAATTATTTTTTATTTTTGCAGAAAACAGCTTTTTCATTCTAGTTCCCAGACCTCACGTTTTTGCGTAATACAGAAGGGCTCTGGGGTCGAGAATGCAGCCTTTTTATCTACAAGGACCTAAAAGAGGGGTGACTTTGAGGGAAGTTGGGAACCAGGGAGCTTTCGCAACGGTTACGGAAACGAAGACATTTCCTCAAAAGGGAATTGGCGCTGTTTAAAAACTTCAACACAATTATTCCATTTTGTTCGGTTTGTCAAATGAAGGCGATTTAAATTTTTAAAGGACCGTATATCAAAGTTCAGACAAAAAAAGCTTTGCCTTCGGGAAATTTCCTCCCTTCAAAGTTGTTATATCGACAACATCGAGTTTGATTCACTTTCAAAGTTATTTTTTCTTAATTAGTTACGGTCTTTGATAAGAGCTGCCCGGTTAGCTCAGTCGGTAGAGCATCAGACTTTTAATCTGAGGGTCATGGGTTCAAGTCCCATATCGGGCGACAACACATTTTATTTTCTCATTTATTTATCTATTTCACTTTATAAATAGGCTATTCTCACGATGACAACGTTTGACTACCACTACCAGAATTCATTTCGTTTTTGCTTTCTTAGGGCCTGTTTACATGGAGGTGGGGGACCCCAGGTAGGTCACGTAACCCGCTTAGGTGGGGTAACCCACATGTCCATACAATCTCTCATTTTAATGTGATCACGTTTACATGTTAGGTGGGGTAACCCGCCCCATGTCACCTCACCTACCTGGGGTCCCCACCTTCATGTAAACAGGCCCTTATTTAAATTTGTCAATCCCGCAGAGGTTTAAAAAACAATAGCCTTCAGATTTGCACAAGAAAACATCAAACTGAAGCATTCTGGTAGTTGTACTAAAATGGCGTCATCGTGCAATTGTCCTAATATTGCGCTTACTTGCAAAGGATCGGGGTAACACTTTGAGAAAAAAAAAAGAGCTTCAAATGTGTGCACAAATGAACCCATTATGGGCTACTGTTCTTTTGTGTAAAACCTCTCTCCCCTCGCCCCACTCACGAGAAAGCGTCTTGTGAAAAGTTGAATCATATCTCGATCTGATGACAATCCTAGTAAATAAAACGTGCATGGTTGTGGGAGAACAACGGATCTACCCTGATCACCAGAAAGAGGAAAGATTAGATCTAGTGGAAATCGGAGGCTTTCATTCGCTCTTTTGGAAAGATGCAGATAAGATTTCATATGACTTACAAAAAAGATATTTTTTGGCCCAGATTTGTATTTCTGTCCCACTTCGTAGAGGACTTTTCGTCGGCGGTGTCGGTCTGATATTCTTCACTGATGTGATTTTCTTCTAGGCTCCTGAAAAGCGAACAGTTTTGCCTGATTTGGAATATCAGGGGTCAAATACTTTTCTTTTTCCCTTGAACTGTCCAAAATAAGTTTACTTAAATGCTCGTGTTTAAGCTTCTTAGAGCGTATTCAGAATCAGATTGATTTTAAGACTGTCAGCAAACGTTTTGCATTAGTGGCGAGGTCGCTAGGACTAAAATTATAGCGGAATACGTCTACTCTTGATCTCTGCTTTTCTTTTCTTTTTTTTTTTCTTTCTTTAACATATTACTACAATATAGTGGACCTTATATCTTCATTTATTTTTAATTGAGCTCCCTAAGATTACCATTTAATTTCAATTTCCAACGCTGGCACTCGCTTTCACAATAAAAGTCCTACAGTTCTGTGCGGCTATGAACAATGTTCTGTATGTCTGATGTTTTTCTCTAGTTCTTCCATTTTCTTTCTAAGAAGTTGATTTCGTCTTTCAATTCTGCTGGACTTAACGCGAATGTGCTGAGTTTGTTGGTGCGTGTCATCAATATCCTCCTCATTTTCAAACACCCCTGACCACTGTTCACCAATACTCGACTGTGACCTTAAAACTTCATCCGATGTTGAGAAGCTAAGGAGGCGAAACCTGCCAAGAGACTGGGTCCTACGAAGTCGCTGGTCATCTCTTTTTTGTTCAAGTAGAACCTTAAACAAAATGGGTTGAAACTGATTAAAGTTCATCATATACTAGTCTACGGTGACTATCCTAGTTTAGTATATACTAAAACAGTGGATAGTATATACTAAAACAATTATTCACCTCAGTGTCGGTGGCTGGTTGTGGTAAATCGGTGAATAATTGTTACTTGCCGTTTTTTTTAGAATAGAGGTACGGGTATAATGTTTCGCTTAAAACTTACTCGGCACAAGACTGAAAATGAATCGTTTTCAATGAGTCATGGCGGCCATATAGGTGTACAGGTGTTCCAAACCAGCCATGTTGGTTTACCAAAAATCCTGAGAGGATTGAACTCCTACAGTGGAACCTCGATTTAACGAGGGTTCGTTATATCGAAAACCTCGATTTAACGAATTTTTGAGAAAACAATCATAATGTTTGTTATATCGAGGTAAAGTTAATGATTAATTTCCAACGCCCAGCATTTCCGAATCTGGAAATTTTCTGTAATAAACATTTGCATCCGAAGCTATTGTGTCAGTTCTGAGCTGTACGCAGCTACGGCACAAGAAACACAAGAACACCCAAACAAAACTGCTTAAAACTACTTGACACATAAATTTCATCCTCGTTGGTCTGTTTGCATACATCTTTAGCTATCTTTTGGTCACATGTTGAAATTTATTCGTTATATCGAGCTATATTTGACGTTTGCGTTTCTGGATTGTGTTCGTGTTATATAATGACGATTTCGTTACATCGAGTTTCTGTTCCGTTATATGGAGGTTCGTTGAATCGATGTTCTACCGTATCTGCCGCCAAAATATTCCTTTTGTTTCAAGAAATTTGCATAGTTGTTGAACAAGTGAGAGAAAAATGACATATTTACGTTATAACCAGAAGTTGATTTTTAAGCGCTTCGTTTTCAAAGACTGTTCAAAGTCCCACCTGTCATCACACTCGTCACGGAAAATAACCATTCGGGGAAATTCCGTGGGTAAGAGCCTGTTTTTTTAAGAACTTCAGGATAGGCTAAAATTGCCAGTTATCCCCATCTATTGCACGTGACGTCACGGCGGCCATGTTAGTGGAAGCATCTCTTTCCTCTGGGAACTAAACTCTATTTTCATGTAAATTCTATTGTATTGACCCTCAACATGGCCGCCTTATCACATGGTTGCATACTAAGAATACAAGAACCTGTTCAGCTTAAAATTTGAAACAGGTTCTTTTTTCTAAAATCTATTTTAAAAATGCTGTACACCTGGGCAAATGAGATAAGTCAACATTCAGCATCCTCTTTAGAGACATCCTTAATTTGTGCTAATTACAATTTATGTAAGAGCCTCTCTAGGCTAACTTGAGGAAATGCACGTTCTTACTCGCGCGAGATTTCTCTGTATCCCCAGTTATCAATCACAATAGGAAACTAGTCTGTGTAGGGATCCAGGGCATACCCAACCTTATTCCCCACTCCAGAAACTGTAAGGGGAATGGGTACAAGCTTTCGGCGCAACGAGTTCTGGGATCATTTGGGTGAACAAGCGTTAGTTTTGATTGGTGGATGGTATTCAAGGCAACCATTAACCAATTATAAGTAACGCTTGTTCGGCCAAAACGATCCCAGAACTCGTTGCTCCAAAAGCATATACCCAATCTCCCTAAAAAAAAGTTTTTGGAGTGGGGAATTACAATGAGGGAAGAGGGGATCCCAACCCGTACAAATCTAGTAACTCATTGAAATCTAGGATCCCTAAAAACCTATTGAGGACTCTCAGCTCATGTACTTGAAGTCCAGTAAACGAAAAGATGGTACCATTATTTTTTTAATGTAATAATTCCCAAATATAGCATTGTAAACTAAAGGGATAAATCATGAAAGATAGTAAAATCTTAAGATAAGACCACAAAAACAAGAACTTTGGCTGACATTGTCAGAATTTTACAAATGTCTGAACATGGATATTCATTTTGGTTTTTTTTCTTTTTTATAACTTTACTAACCTCGGAAAACGTCTTGGATCGATTCCGTCTACCTGCATTCAAAGATACCTTGCGCGTTCGAACGTTTATTCCTGTTGCTGGGCGTTCGACCTGATTTTTCAAATAAAAAGTGAGAAAAAAAACGGGATCGAAATATATCTTCTTTTGGTCATTCCTGTAAGAAACGGTAACAATGTTATCCATGAGGGTATCTGTTAATTGAATTGTCCATTAGGATCATTTATAACCACGTGAGGATACTGTATATCTAGTATGCAAACTTTTGTTAATTAATTCTGGCTGTGGTAGCAAAATGAACTACGCCGGCCTTTCAATTACCTTAATTATTTCATGTTTAGAGCATTGGCCTCCTAATTTGTGGAGTTTTTCCTGACCTAGACTCATATAATTAAAGGTTTCCAGCCTAGCTAGATAGAAAAACTTCTCAAAAAACGAAAGAACAGTAAATGGAAGACAAAGTTTTCACACGCCGGGTTTTTTGAAAATATTTAACCTATAGCACGTTTGACCGAGAAACAGTAACACTGCTTATCTGAGATGTGACAAGTTTATGAGTTTTAAAGCAAAAACCTCCATTGAATTACTTCTAAAGGTTTATCGGAAGATTGACCTCAATTTTGCAGTCAACAAGTGCTAAATCGCCACTCTTTCTTGTAATTCCTACCTTTTCAGAAATGCTGTTCTCCTCTGTCTTACTTGTTCTTATTTCCTCCTCGAAACAGAGAAGGTGCGGACCAAGTAGAAGTAAGGGTGAATGTCAGAAAAAGAAGACCGCGAAATTCGCAAGAGCAACAAAGAGGTTCAAAAGTTGTAGAAAGAACTTTAGTTAGTCGACGACAAACGTTCGGTCATGAACCTCGTGAATTGAGGTGTACCATCTGCGCATGTAAAATAAAAGTAACAATCAATCCAACATTAGCAAGGAAAACTGTAACAAAACCTTCAAGGGGTTGGTGCGACCTTTTTGAACAGAAATATGTACTTTTGGTTGTTTTACGTTTCTTTTAATACAATTCACAATAACGAGAAAAACTACAAGTGCAAGTCGGAGGGAACTCAAAATTTTGGGCGTACTCGCACCGATTCAAGACGAGATTTAAAATTGAGCGATTGACAAAAACAATAGGAAGAGGAAGAGGACCAAAAAACTGACTTAACTCACAGTCTCGGCCGAAACTGTTGGGACAGTTTTCCGTCTTCTTGCCCTCCCAATATTGGTGTCCCAACTATTTTTGTCGAGACTGCAGATGGTGCGGGTTAAAGCGACCAACAAAAATAGGTGTTAAACTCCCGGGAAAGGCTTGCTAGGAGTAGGATATCTGGCATGTTTAAAAGAAACACGCTTATGCTGTATGGCTCAAAAGATCATTTTTACCAACGCGCCTCCTCGCCCTACCCCCTCCTCCCTTGCAGGCAATGTCAATAATCTTTTAAGGTGATAACGTCACGAGTGGTACAAGGGACGTGGATCCACAGGCTACTTGTGGTTGAGGTGTGATTGGGTTAAAATAGGTGGAAACAAATGCGTGTTGAAAGTAAAAGTAGTCAATAGACGAAGACTAACAATAACAATTGCTCCAAAGTAGGTGTTCCTTTGATTCTATAAAACAATGGTGCTTCTGTAAGCTTTAGAATGCCCCTTACTGAATGGAAACAAATGTGAATACTGTAATTGTTGGGCCTATAATGATATCACAGATTAAACTCACATTAAAGTCCAATTTAATGGGATATGTTTCTAGAGGTTGCCATGCAGGTCTCCAATTGATACGTATAAGCAGGTTCCAAGAGCCGGATCAGAGTTTTCACCCGTTTGTATTACATTATAGAGGCCAGTAGCATTTTTGATGCCGAGATAAGTGAATTTCAATTTTGAAAACGTCCGTTCAACAATCACAAGATCGAAACGGTATCTTCCTCGTTGCTATACTGATTTTCACTGAAATACTGCAAATCCAAAAATGTTGGACATGCATGTCCTGAGGATGCTCAATGAAAGGATAGTTACCGTGAGATGGATTCCAGCAAAGAGTAATAAGGGCGACCACCAAAAGATCGATCGCGTATAAGGAGGAGCACATGCAAAAACACGGAAGAGATTCAGTGGCGGGGTATGATTGTCACTTGTTGTTCCAGCCGGGACGAGAAGGGTAGAAAAAATCTAGCCGGTCCTCACCAACGACGAAAGCATAAACATAAGCATAAGAAGCTTGTGCGCTAGTGAGGAAGGCCTTTATGTAAACATATGCTTCAGTATAGGCTTGAGGTGTAAATTAGAGGGACACAGTCAGCTGATGCACATGCGCATTAGATACCATTTCAAGATAGAGAAAGCTTGGTTTTTCCAAACGTATGTAACCCTTTCCATCGATTTTCCAAATACATATAACGATTATTTGCTCGCCAATGTTATTGATTCATTTCTTTTGTTATTTTGGTAAACGAACGCAATTTCTCCCGCCCGGCGCCTACGCGTTTCTCACCTCTTCTGTTCATGTTCCTCTGGATACTATTTTTAACCAAATATGATAAAATAATGTCATAGGATGGGTTAAATTTGCTCAAAAAGAGGTTTTCTGTTAAAGATCGAGGATCGAATGAAAAACTAGGCAAGAATGAAGCGGATTTCTAGATGTAGCCGACGCGTACATTTGATTCCGGGTTGAGGTAAACTCTTTTCAAACCGTCAAAAGTAGTGTCCAGTTTAGCGCGGTCCCATAGCTGACTGTGTCCCTTTAAGTAGCCAATGGGACAACAGATTTTTTTTTTGTTTTTTTTTTTTGCATTACTGGGTATCTAAATCTAGTAACTGCTGATCAGTGGGATNATTTTTTTTTTGTTTTTTTTTTTTTGCATTACTGGGTATCTAAATCTAGTAACTGCTGATCAGTGGGATAATATACCTTAAATGTGTGCAATTCCACGTTTGCTTTCGGTTTCCTTATCCTATCCTATACCAGATGCAAAACATTTTAAGAGCAACGACCTGCACTGCAAGTCTTACTCATTCCTTTAGAAGCTTGAAGTATAAGTTCAATGACAAGGGTAAGTTTGATATCATTTTTATACAACTAAGATGGCACGCGCGCTCTGATTGGCCGAGAGGCGTGTTTGCATGTATGTCAACATGGTTGTGACGTCAAGATGTTTTGCTTTTCGGGCGCTAATCACGCAAGCACGAATGTGAAAAATTTTTTGAGTTTTAAACTCGACAAGTTCACTTTATTTACCCATTTCCTCGTCGGCTGAAACGTGGAAAATCATTACGAACATGGAGTGTATATTTTGTTCGCTTAAGCTGACATTTTAAGCGAGAAAAATCCGTTTTTTAGAAAGCATCGTTTTTGCAAAACAAGGACAAATCACAATTACACGCCTAAGACTTCGTGACTGGTAAGAATTGCTCTTTTAATCGGGGCCATAACAAAGAATTTTGCGTTTTCTCTTGGAAAGTTAATTATGAAACAAATACAACACTTTTTTCCTGTATTTGTATAGCCTGATGTAAACACGAGAGGGGTTGGGTGAATTCTCGACAGTAACGCAAACCCTCGAATTCGTCTCGGGTTTACATAACTGTCTCGAATTCTCCCAACCCCTCTCGTGTTCTTATCAGGCTATGCAAACACGGAAAATGTCTTCTATTTTTAACCCATACTGCATCATATCGATGTGTGGGTCCTCTTTTGCAATGATGCCAAGTAGAAGCAGCGAGATAAAGAGCCAACTACTGAGCGAAGAAGCTCGAAATAATAAAGAAAGGTGACACACAAATATATCAGTATGGGTAAATCAGCCGGTGGGCGCAGTAAGGCCGAGAAAGGGTAGCTGATGCTACTATTAGGTCCTATTAAATCTTTAGGCTAGTTGTGGAATACAAATAAACTTTTATTATTTTCCTTAAGTGTCATACCAATGATATAATTAACTTTATTTACCAGTAACATTAACTGTACCTTTCAGAAGGCGCAAGTTCATCTTCATACTTCCTGATCTCTTCTTCGCTTTCTTCTGTTACGTCATTCAGTATAGGAGTCGGCGTTCGACTCGTCCTCTTCGTCGGTGTCTTCCGGCCTGGGGCCAGCTGTGATCCGTCAGTATTGTCATTTCCTTCGGTTGCTGACCCAGTATCAGGTGACCAATCTTCAATCACGATAATGGGTGGTTGACCTGTGTCGTCGCTTAACTCCTGAGCGCGTTCACTCTTCCTCCGTTGTCGAACATTGCCCATCCACTTGCTAGCGGCGAAAGAAACATTCCATAGATTCAAACCCGGGCTCTTGGCGCCAGAATTTTCTTCATCCGATGAGCTGGGATCCTGGCTGGACGTTTTTTCCAGGACGTCAAAGATGCTCCTATCAAATCGACGGTAGCTTTTGGGCGAAAAACGTCGACCGGGAATTCCCGTGTTGATGATTTCTTTGATAACTACATTAGGTTTGTGAGCGACAGATTTCTCAACTGCAACAGAAGGAAGAAACCCTGGGCTATCTGCCCTACTTATCATATTTATGGTAGCTTCTTTCGGGGGCGTTTTAGTATTTTCTGAATTTACATTTGTACCAATAAATGCATTGAAATTCCTGGATTTATTCCGTTTAAAAGTTTGACTGTTCTGCTTCTTGCTCTTTCCTCTTTCCTCCTCTTTCCTCTCTTTTCCACTATGAGATCGCGCAGTTTTCACTGCAGTTCTTACTTTTGAGCGTGGTAACTGATCTGTGTTTGCAGAAGCTAATTCTGTAGTTTTCGGACGTCGTAACACATCCTTGGTTACTTTAAAGCTCTTTGGTCGGCGAGATAGTGTTGGCGACTTTGATTTTTCTTGGAATTTACGAGACCTTCTCGTGGGCGCACTCTTAGGTTTAAACATTTCAGCCGTCCTGAATTTGGTCAGATCCTGAAATGGGCTGGATCTGTTTGAGGGGAATGAAGGGGGCGTTGTGTTGTCACTGTTATCCTCCGATGATCTTCTTAGTAACAGGACGGCTTTTACGACCGCAGCAGCGCTGCAATTCAAAATGGCGGATGATCTTCGTCTTGAGGACCGAGGTGTTACGAAGAGTTGCTCGGTTTTCTTCGGTGCGCCAGGAACCTCATCATCGTGGTTTGGTATTTTTAACGAAATCCTGCAAGGATTCAATGAAAACAAGACCTTAGAGGTTTATTATTTACTTGTTGGACACGTGTTTCAACAGTCCTCAGAATCAGCGTGGGGGGAACAGTGAATTGCCAAACTTGGCAGTGCTGGCTCTTGAAAGGCCCTGTTTGAAAATGAACATGAAGATGCTGATGGTGGTGGTGGTGAAGGTGATGATGATGATAATGATCATGTTTATGATGATCTTGAGCACGATGATGAAGATAATTATGGTGATGGTGATGATGTTAATTATCATTATTATGGTGATGATGATGGTTATAGCGATGATGATGATGATGATGATGATAGAGATGATGATAACGATGGTCGTGATGATAAATTGATGGTGATAATGACGCTGATGACGACAATGATAATGATGATGATGATGATCATATTAAGAGCTATGAAGATACTGATAATGATGACCCCATAAAGGCGTCTAGCAACGGTGATGGGTGTAGGACATCACCTCCGCTGGTAGACCACATTTTCCAATAATTTGCATTCATTTATCACTCGCTAACAAAAATAAAAACTCTGATTACCTTTTGGCGTCTCCGTATTCCACAGCCCTTGAGAGTATGGGCGTTATCTCGTTCCTATCGATTGCCGTGTTACATTTTCCCGCCATTTCCAGGAGCTCGGTTATTGTGCACCTTTTAAAGCTCTGCCAGACATCACTGTCTCGGATGTATTGCTTGATGTCGGCATCGTTGAAGAAATAGCGACGGTTTTCACGGAGAATGCGAATGATGTTTTCGTTTGCTTTTAACGCCCAACTAAAAAGTACACAAAAGGAGACATTTTCTTAAATTAAATTCCTGGCATATAACCACGTTATGTTGTTGATCGATAACTTAATTTACGCTTAGTGCTGATGAAAAATGATCTCAAGTCTTGGAATTCGCAATTCTCTGACGAAAATCAATTTCTAGCTCTAGCATTGCATGCTACTCATAAACAAATACACAAACCAGTATTTCAAAGCACTGGAGCAAGTCCTTATTTTAATTCACCGGGCTTAAAATATTTACATTTATGTCCAACTATCCTACTTTCCAGTCCGTAGCAGTTAATGCAGGATGTCGGTCACATGAACCTAAGAAGAAGTTTTATGGTCTTAGTTTCCAACTACTGCAGGTTTTCAAAGCTGACGCCACGGTAAAGATGTTAGTTGAAAGAACCAAAGCGATTCTAATCTAAACCTAAACTCTTTTTTTAAGTAAATTTTGCGAAAAACAGTTATTTTTTTGAACATAAGTAACTGTTACTAAAACAAAAACTTAGTTACTTGTTAACAAGGAAGCAAGTGACTGGACCAATGCTTGCAACGCTGCAAAAACATGGAATGGAGTCAAGAACAGTTGACTCGCCAAAGAACTGACCTACAAGATAATGAATCAATTAAAACTGGTTAAGTGGGGTAATGCATATGGGACTCTTCCTTGTTTGCTTTTCTGCAACTCACTTAAGCGTCCCTCACTTATTAACCTGCTATCAGGTGGTCTTTCTTCCTATTTTTCTTTGCCTTCGCGCTTCCCCGAAAAAAAAGCCTGATCGCAGGTAAGCTTTGTGCAGGCTGTCTAGTCTCCACTCGTCCTAGCCCCCTGCGTTACAGCAAGAAAGAAATCTGGGCCGTCCACGTGCTTTTGCAAGCCGCAAGTCGTGACAATGTTGGATATTGGAAGGAGAGTACTGTAAGTGTTGCATCTATTTGTTTTTTCGAATGAAGGTTGTGTATTCTCGTTTCAGCCGTTTCTAATGGGTCGCACACACATGATTAACTCTTCCTAAATGGGATATCATCGTAAGAGCGTTAATGTACTTAACGATTTTATATAGGATTTGCAACTCGTTGTGTGACTTACCTTTTTCAATTTGTCCTAGTTTCACCAATTCTTCTCTGTTAACCTCTTCAATAAAGACGCTTCTGTAGTACTGACATCTACCTGAATTAATCAATTTACACAAGTAGAATAAGGCCTAGCCTACCCATACTAACGCTTTTTCAAAAGTATGCGATTTCGTTGTCATCGAAAACGCATCAATCGATTCGCGTCCACACTACCGTTTTGCTACGTTTTCGACTGTCCACACTAAAACGTTCAAAAACGATAGGATTGCACGTTGTGACGTAAGTTAAACTCTACGCGCGCGCTACAAACACACGCGCCTGCGATATTTTCGGTCATCGTTTTCATTTTGATGCGTTTTCGACCGTCGACACAAATACGATATGAATGCGTTTTTGTTTTGATCCACTTTCAAGAGTGTTTTCAAATCGATGCGTTTTGTTTGAGAACGCAATTACATTTCGATGCGTTTAGTCCTTCCGTCCACACAAATACGCTGAAGCGTTTTCACCGGAAACGCACCGATTAGAAGGCTAGGCGCCAGAGTCAATCTGCATTGGCCTTAAGTGAATAAGTAAAATGGTTTCAGGAGCAGACAGTCTCATAACGTCACGCTACAACACATTCTTTCCCCCGGAACACGTCGCTTCTTTTGGTCACGTATTTTGTACAAAGTGAGGACGGGGATAGCAACAGCGATGCGTGGGAAGGCAAAGAACGGCTGTGTGAGAAAGTACAAGGAAGACTGCTGTCTTTAAAAAACGTAAAGCAACCTGCATTCAACAGATTTTTCATAAGGACATTTCGACGTTACCTTTTACCACAAAAAATAGATGTTCTGGCCGATCTCCCTGGTTCACAATAACTTTGCCCGCTGGATATTCCTGAGGAGAACAAGTAATTGAGTAATATAAATTAAAAACGAAAATTAGCACATTTCGAAACTAAGGCTGTAATATTAAGTGTCCCTCTGTTTTCGGGTTTCATAAAGTACGACATAGCCGCAAGTCTCATAATGTCAGGTTTTACTCAGGAAAATTTGCTCAACTGGAAATAAGCTTGCCGACGTAAAATGTGATAGGGAAAAGTTGCCATTCATCTGGTAACAACCTCTACTCCTCCTTAAAAGGGATGCTTGTCTTAGAATCGACAAACTAGAGAAACAGTAAGCAAAACCGCTTTGGCAAGCTTTTAAAATTAGCAAAACAAACACAAATGTCACAAGCAAAGCCAAATATTGTGATAAGGCCGGGATCAAAATTAAAACTTTTGATCTTTCCAACCATCAAACACAGGAGAGTAAGCATGTGGTTCAATCAAATTTAACAAAAATCTATATTTCCTGAATAGCAAGAGAATGACCATAAGAAAATAAATTGCTTCGAAATAATGAACGTGTCATTGGTTCTAACGTAAGTTCCCCTACTTAGGTCACGACAATTACAATCAGTAAAATGGGACTTAATGGGCAGCCTGTCGTTAAGATAAAATGCACAGTTTTCGCTTTTATTAATGTTTTAAAAAATATGTTAACAAGTTAGACCAGTTATCTCTTAAGACTTACGGTTCCTTTTTGTCCAAGGCCGATTGAAAAATTCACATACAAGCAACATAAAAATGCAAACTAAAATTCAAATTCAGTTTTATCTATGAAAAATATAAAACTTTGCTCCTACATGCATATGTACATCAAGCATCATTTCTTAAACGATTTGTTACCATTGGAGACATAAAATTCTTATCAAATATTATTTTATTTTAGTTTCCAAAAGAGAACAAAACACCCTGCTTTGACTTTGTAATGAGATCAGTTATAACAGCCAAACTTGCATTTCGCCGCCGCGAAAAATAAACACGACAGGAAAAAAGAAAAGCTTGGAAAACACTCATTAAAACATGTATATAACAAACAAAGGTATAAAATAATGTTCTTGCCTGTCTGGCCATCATAGCAACTAATTTCTTCTTCTCGTCCGCAGGAAGAGCTTTTAAAGGAAGGACCTCCTCAATAAAATTTTCAATCTCTCGAACATATTTATTCTGAACTTTTTTCACTGCTCGATGAAACTGCTCGCGGTCGACTCGTATAAACTCGCTAACTTCTATAGTTCGTATGCTATCAGGCGGTGGATAATCAAATTCTGGACCATCTCCGGACACTAAGCCCAGATATTCCCCTGCCACGTGAGTATAGTTTATATCACAGTCATTTGGGTTTTTCGGCGAGTTCTCGCCTTGACTAAAAACACCGTTGCTTATCGCATACCTTGCTTCCACCGAACCGTTCAAAATGTAATAACAAGACAAGCATTTCTCTCCATTTTTCTTGGAGATGTCGACATCTGCGTCGAATTTTTCGTACGTGACCACAAAGCACAGAGCTTCCTTAAGGAACTGAAGGCCTTTGTGTATGTCCTTCAACGCCGATACAACTGGTTTTATCGTGTGAAGTTCCTCGGTCGATCGCCTATGGCTTAGAGGACGTTGCAAAATGTAGAGAATTTTGTCCGTAAGTACAATGCCCGCTTGCGCTTTAAAAAGCCTCTTGTTGAAAACAGGCGGTAGTTTTTGTACAGGAAACTGTGGCTGTGTTTTACACAAAATTGACATCATAGAACATGTACAGTCCAAACTCAACTCAGCGATGACTTTGACATCAAACGCTTCACTTCACTCTTGGCTGTATATCGCCTTTCCATTTTATAAATTTAACGTTTCATTTTTGATTGGAATGTTAACTTTTCGCTGTCATTTTAAAGGTGAAACGCCAGTTGATATTTTGCGACTACGCCATAAACAAATCTCGTAGCCAAGCGAAGGTTATGTAAATGACGTTCCTCTAAGCAGGTGTAACACTCCATTATGCTTTTGTAACGTCAGGTTTTTGTCAATAATTATCACTACATTATAAGGAATTGCCTCCTTCTAGAATAAGATTTATTACTATACCCCCATCAGGATCAGCAAATAACTGATATGACACTCCTGGCTGGTCAACAATAAGCTTATCCAATTGAAGCAAGTTATTTCATCGGAAATCTCTTCTTTAATATGCAAATTTCGTTTAATATACAAATTTCTCGCTCGTACTAAGATATAATATATGGATTTAGCCGGGGCTAAAAACGAAGCTCTGGTTAATATACTTATAAACAAAAATAAATAAATAAATCTTGTAATGCTAACGGGGGACGGCAATGAAAATGGCATCAAGATCAATAGATCTAATTAGCAAAACAACAAATTTGCACGTGCAGCACACTTTTTTTCTATGAATAGCAAAAAACAAATTTGCACATGCAGCACGCTTTTTTGTCCTTCTTTGCCGTTGTTTTGCTCGACTAAAACGTCAAACTTCCTAGTTACACTTTATTTTTGAGGAGAAATTGTCGTATGTGCTTACCAAAGATTTTGTTTCCTGTGTTCATGTTCGCTTTTATTTTTTCACTGCCGCTCATTTTCACTTTGCCGCTAG